AAGAGTGTGTGTGTGTGTGTCACATCTCCTGTCAACAAAATATACAAACAAAATTAAACAGCTGATAACCGCTTATTGATTAGTGTAATCCCAGGTAGCAAATGTATGTACATCATTTGATGTCAAAATAACGTGTGCTTATTATCTGGGGTAGTAGTAATAATATAAAGATGATATTCATGTACTCGTTTTTTTTTTTTTTTTTTAATATAGAGGATCAGCAAGAGAAAAACCAAGATCAAAACAATACGTTTGAAAGTATATACCATTTAGTTATCCCATTTACATCATACATCGTATATCTTCATTTGTATATTTCCAGGAAAATGCTTCCAAGATCTCGGGTTACGAACCTCTCTATTTAAAGATAAACAATTGCGATTGTACATGTACTTAATAATGTAAAGTCCATTCAATACTCGAAAGAGTACTCTCATAATCTTCCTATAACATATAGACTCCTTAGCAAAGTAAACTTTGTTAACGCAAAACTTCAATATAACAAATTGAGCGTACGGAACGCTGTGTTAGTAGATGGTGTTCTACTTTGCTTAAGCTATAAATGGATAACGGAAAGCATATATATATATATATATATATATATATATAAAATAATTATATATTATATAATATATATTACATATATATAATAATTATATATATTATCTATATATTATATATATAAATATTATAATATATATATATATATTTTACATATATAATATATATACAATATGCATGTTTACGAATAATCTAAAATAAAATATGCACTCTTATAAATTATTGCAGCTTCAACGTAGCCCCAAACTTGACCGAGAGAAACAAGATCGCCGATAACTTCTGCGCAATTAACACTTTTCGGCTTCCTGATGTTTAAAAGCTTATTCAGTATATTTTGATTAAAATTATAATAACTGTGCTCACAAAAAAAAGTTAGGGATATATTACATGTCTCCCTTCTCTAATTACGATAACATATGTTTCTCTTTCTTACCTTGCTTTTCTTTTTAATCTTCCTGCTTTATCCGCTATTTACTTGTATGTCTCTCTCTCTCTCTCTCTTTCTCTTAGGACTATAAAAGATTAGAATTTACTTTAAAGACGTACAGTCTACCGTTATTCAGATACATCCGTATTCAAACAAAAATCGTTGATGTCTAAAAATATCCTTAACTTTCCTTGGAGTTCTTTTTTTCTTTATATATACCCGCTATAATATCAATTAATCATCCTAGAGCGCGGATTCTTAAAGACATTCATTAATTACATGTAATAATTCATTTAATCTATATTTTATACAAAATATCTCTGCATCGTTGCAATTGTTTGACAAAAAACATACAAGTAACTTAGTATTACGCACGTTCGATACATTTAATTTTATACGTTATACGTGTTGTATGTGCTCTCTCTCTCGATAACATATTCCTGTCACATTTGTGGCAGTAACAAAAGTTCTTCGGAATAACGTATAGCACCGATTGTCACGTGTAAAACTGGATCGATGATACAATACAAAAGAGCTTCCATTATCTGCGGGGAAACACAAATTAGCAGATAGAAATGGCAAACCAATCGAGATTTGAAT